TATAATGAAGTGGTTTAGATCAAAGTATATTTATGTGTTCGAACAGCCCAGTCACAGTCCAGACCTAAATCAATTGAGAATCTTTGACAGGACCTGAAAAATGACATTCATGGACACTCTCTATCCAATTAGAGCTATTTTGCAATGAAACATTGGGCAAAATGTCAGTTTCTAGATGTGAAAAGCTGGTAAAAGCATACCGCAGCTATAAATGCAGAAACAGGTGGTTCTGCAAAGTATTAACTCAGGGGCAATACAAATGCACGGTACAGTTTAAGATTTTTATTTATAAATTCTTTAAAAACAATGTATTACTTTCCCTCAACTTTATTACTTTGCATAGCTTTGAGTGCTTTGTGTGTCATCTGACCAGATTACCCTCTTCCACTGTTTGTTTGTGGAACTGTTAAACAAGACTTCTTATGGGTTTCGTTGAATGGATTTTATGTAAGGTTATTATTTTCCTTTCCCTTCATGGTTATGTACTACTTTGTGTTGATAAATTTCATAAAATCTCAATAAATAACACTGAAGGTTAAGGTTAGATCATGAAACAAATGTGAAAAGTTCATAGAGTATGTATGCTTATTAATATACTGTGTACTGTCTATAAATGTCACAACGAAATATTTTTGCAAGACAACCAGTAGATGGGGCAATAGTCCTCTTCTTTGTGCAGCTTTGTGGCGTTTTGCAATGTAAACTGTGTTTTAATTCCTCTGTTTTACTCGCCCACAGTACTCAGGAAGAAGGTCAAGGTACTAAAAAGGTTTCAGCATTGTTAAATCAGTGTGTGAAGGGTTTAAATAGCCTGACAATATAAACAATGTGTGTGTTGTAGAGACAAAATATCGTTTTTTGAGAGGATATTTTGTTTTATTTTGTCCTGATTGCTCTGCTAATTGTATGTGCAGTGGTGCTAACTGGGACAAGCTTTGGAAAAAGGGCCTCTTTTCAGATCACACAGAAGAAAAAGCTGTAAGTAAAAACAAAAGATACAATCGGGGTCATGAAAGTCCAAGTTTTTTCTTCTTTTTATGATGATCATCTATGATGTAGAACAGGAAAATAATCATACAACAGATAAAAATTAAGATATCACCTCCTGGAGGATCTTTAGAGTCTGCTAGATGTACTTGAGTTGAGTGGGTCTGCAGCTGTTGATTGATACATTATCTGTATTATGCACAAAGTGCGTATCACTAAGTACTGAACAAACCTTTTTGACAGAATTGTGAGAGCTATGGCAGGCCCAGTATGCAGTGTTACAACTGCTGTCATAAGGTGTTTTTTTCTCAATGTGTAAATGTGATCTTGCAGGTGCTTCTCTGTAATCGGTGGACCAAGAAGACAGACAAATGGATATTGGTTACTTAAGAGGATGTGTACGATCATCCTCTGCTCCAACCATCCACACCCTGTGAAGTGTCTTTTTAACACAGTCAAAGTTGAATGTGATGCTGAGAAGTTTGTAGGGCTGGACTGCCCTTTAATTTTTGATACTAGCATGGTGTATTTGTTCGGTACGGAGCCCAGCAAGTGTCAGCGGGTAAGAAAAACAAAGCACAGTTGTGTAATATCTGCGCACAGATTGCAAAACCGAGAGCACAGTTTAGTAAAGCGTGAGCACGGATTTCCACCGGCTTTGTTTTCTTGTACCTGCTGACACTTGCCGGGCTCCATAGTGTTGAATAGGTCCGTTTGGCTAATGTTTCAAATAGGTTCCTTTTGTTTGTTGTTCCAGTATAAGTGCACCCTAAAGCTATACCCCGCTCCTCATCTGTGTTAAAATCTGAAAAGTAAAATAATATCTCGTAAATAAATCATTGTAAAAGCGTACATCTGACAAGGATGGATCACGTTGGTGTAGTGGCTTGGCCAACATTTTTGATGCCAAAGCAGACGTGTGCAGACAGGAGACTCTAAGCACTGACTATAAAAAGCATTGTTGAGATGAGTAATCATGCACAATCCAAAGTTCTTACTTTAACATTTTTTATAATAAAAACATAACTTCAGTGTGTTAAATTGAAATTTATGAGATAGACCAACTCAAAGTAGCGTATTATTATGAAGTGAAAGGAAAATGATACTCTGAAATAAAATCCATTGGAAGAAAGTATTAGAAAGCATTGTTTAGAGTTTGCAAACACACCATATAGCAGTGTTTTTCAACCCTGGTCTTTAAGACACATTTCCCTGCATGTTTTGGAGGTTTCCCTGCTTTAACACACCTGATTCAGATAATTGCAGTTCAGCAAAAGCCTGGTAATCAGCTATCAACTGAAATCAGGTGTGTTGAAGCAGGGAAACATCTAAAACATGCAGGACAGTGAGCCTTGAGGACCAGGGTTAAAAAACACTGCCATATAGAGCAGTGATTCCCAACCGTGGGTTCTCGTACCCCTAGTTGTACATGAGCACATTGCAGGGCTACGTGAAAACATTTAATATTTTATTTCCAAGATGACGGGTAAATATCAGTTAGTAGAGATAATTATTGAGTGTGAGATGCTTTATTAGGACCCAGGGGCAAAATACACAAGGCTTTTATCAACCAAAAGAGAGAGAAATAGAAAAAGTAACAGCTGTTTCCACTCTGCCTCCAGATCTATCAAAGCTTATCGAGGACAGGCAATCTCATGTGTCTCATTAAAGGTCAGTTAAATGATGAAAACAAAGTAAAACTGATAGAGCGAACCTGAATATTATTTTTATGAAGTGTTCTGTTGCTGAGTTTTTAGGTTTAAATGTCTTTTTATGGGGGACTTGTTCAAAAGAGCTCCAATTGTTGTAAAACAAAAGCAGGTTTATTATTTATGTTGATTTTGTATTTATTTAGATTACTTATTCGCTTTCACAGAGTTTCAAGAGTTATTTTGGGATTTTTTTAGCTGAAAAGAATAAAACGCCTAATAAATAAATGTTCAAGTTAATGAAATTAAATAAAATTAATTTAATTTAATAATAATTTTTGCTAACACGTTTGACTGAGGGAAGCGTCCCCCGCCCCGCCAACAAGGCAGTAATAGTACGTTTTAAGATGTCATTCATTTTATTAGATCACGTCTACGTTCTATGGCCAAACTTGACAAAAGCTGGACGAAAACACACCCATCACCCCTCAACAACGCTGAGTTACTCGCAGGTGAACATCTGCTCCCGACAGCAGAGAGAGCGGACAGAAAATCATGCCGCTAAAACCTGGAAAACAGGCAAGTATATCTGCGGTTTGTAAAAGTGCCGAATTTCGTCTGAATGGCAGCATTTTCTCTCCTGCGAGCAGCAGCAGAGCTAACTCTCCTACTCCTGGTACATACGGCGAAGTTACAAGAACACAAAATACCCCAAGTGTTTCAGGCCTCCGACACATAGCTAAAGTCTAGTCACCACAGAATAAAAGGTTTTATCCTGGCTTGGCTGTCGGAGGTCAAATAGTCCCCAGACTGAGCTTGGCAAATAAATAGATGTAGACAGCTTAAACAGGCTCCATACACACACACACACATATTTTTTTTCTCCATATACTTAAATCTAGTGGGTTTTTTTTTAACATATACTCCTAAATTCATTATTTTCTTCTTATCTGTTGGGTGACAAAAAAGTAACCACTCATTTTTTTTATTTTTGTCTGTGGCTCCAGACACCAGACTCCCCTGACAGCCGTTACCTGTTTCCACAAGGGCTGAAGTAAGTTTGTTGAAACTCTTTTCATCAATCTTAACTTCAACTCAGTGGTCGGTCGTACTGCCAGCATTGCAGTATAAAAACCTGTCCCCCTTGTCGTCAAGGGTGATGTGTGATGTAGCACAGATGGGCCATGTTGCAGCGATTTTTTTATCTGCCAGTCCTCTGTGTTTTTGACATAGGCCTATATGAAGAAACAATGTTTTTGTCTCTTTTTTCATACACTAGGCAGGGGTTCATAGGACGATATCCATTGGAGTCCTTTCCCATTAATTCTTGAGACTCTGACTACTGAAAAACATACAGTAGATATGATTTATAGGAGCTAAATTGAAACAATAACTACAGCATGTATCATATCTATTTAATATCTTTTAGTTTGTATCCTATTTAAATACAGTAGTTGCTTTATTACCTTAACTGTCTTCTCCTCAGTAGTTTTATCCGTGTCCACTGTTCCTGTTTTCATGACCAGCGCTACTGCATCAGAATCAGCTATGGATGTCCGCCTTTCTGCAATGACATAGAGCAGTTTTTCATTTTTGTCATAGTAATGAGCAGGAATTCTGTACACTTCTCCCCTATTTGACTGAAAGATGGTTTGGGGTTCATTCATTGGTTTGTCTTTTGTTGAACTGCAGCAGCCCATGGATGCCATTAGAGAGACAGCAAAATAATAAAGTCTTCCTCTATCCTAAAGAATCAACAGTCTGCTCGCTGCTTCTTCTGGGCAGGGAGTTTTATCTGCATGATTAGAGGGAGGAGCTTAGACAACAAGGAAAAGAGGAAACCAGATGAGACTGGTTTATGCCAAAACAAACATCAATAAGAGGGAAAATTGTGTAAAGAGTTTAAATTTAAGCCAAGAACCAAAAAAACATGTCTGGCTTGCCCTGCAGGTTTTATATTTTTTCTGTTAGGCCTGTATCTGTGCTGCAAATCTGGTTTACTGCAATAAAAAAATTCTTCAATTTTACTTTTAACCAAGTGAAAGGTAAGAGTAACATTCACCTGATTTGCAGTGGTTATTCATGCCGGTTGACATGAGGCTTGCGTGATTAGTCCACCTTCAGGTTCTCTAATGACCAAACCACACAGGCACATGTGGGCGTTCACATCAAGTTATGAAGCGTAGACTGCTATGAGAACATTTGCCTGCTGCATGTATGCAACATTTATGCATCTTTTGACACAAACAGTGGATAGTACTAGTATTTTTGTATGTATATTATTGATGACAGCTTACCATCAAAAGAGGTGTGCCTTATGAATGGGAATGTTCCACAGCAGGCGATATCAGTGTGACCCAGTGTTCCCTGGTGGTCTAGTGGTTAAGATTTGGTGCTCTCACCTCTGTTGCCCAGGTTCTATTCCCAGTTAGGGAATATAGCTTTATAGGTCTATCTTGGAAAAGAAAAGCACAATATTAAAGAGGCTTTACCTGGTTCTATAAAACTTGTTATTATAAGCATAAATAACATAGGCAAATTCACATCACGATCCTTTCCAATATTTGTTTCCACTTTGATCCAGCCATTGTATCATAAAGGCAGATTAAAATCATATCGAGACCATATTCAGAATTTATTAGCATCACAAATGACATTTATTTAGTTATTCAATTTAAAGCTTTACACAAGAAATTCATGTAGTTTTCAATCACCCAGCCTGTTTTACATTTATTGTCCACTTGATAGCACAGTAGAGCAAATGAAGCATCGTGATGCCTCGGCTCATGAGTCGAGCAATTGGATGGATATCCTCACTGCTTCAAGAGGTTTCATCTCACCATCTCGCCAAGATGAGGACCAGGAGGCCGGCCGTGGCTTGAAGATCTTGGCGGCTGACGATGGCAGCGAAGATGAGGACCAGGAGGCCAGCAGTAGTGTAGAGACCTTGGTGGACAGTTACAATAGAGGAGATGTGCTGTGCTGCAGCGCTCTGGAGAAGCAGATGGTGATGGGCAGCAGTAAAAAACCCTCACTGCTACCTCATAATCCCACTCCATCTCCTTCAATTTCTCCACCAGTTCAAGAGAGGAATGAAGGGGAAGGGCCCTTCTGAGCCAATAACAAAAATATGAAAAATGTCTGGAGAACATAATCATGATCAGAGAAAAATCCAAAACAAAAATTATACACCCTCAAATCATGACAATTTATACATCTCTTCAGCTAATTGTCTCTGCTAGTATAGTTATTTCCTTCATGCTAATAGAGTGTTCCTCAAAAAGTTCATTATTTAAAAGTTTTGACACGTGCAATAATATAAAGGTATATTTTCCCTATTAGCCTGTTTATTTTATGTTATTTAGCTTCTATTCATGTGGGGAACACGGTATTTTCCCTTGCTTATTATGTGAAGTCATGCATATAGTTTTTACCTAGTTAAACTACATTGGAGTGATGTATTATCACGTATTTCAAATGAATTAGCATTAATCAAATTTTGTCTCAGAACTTGAGAATCGGGTGAGATAACACCTCGCAGATACTATTTATTGGAGTTTCAGTAATGCAACATTAATGCTGTAGGATTACAATATATAAAGGATTTAACATTACCAACAACCACTTTTTTTCAACACTCCCTAACACGGAGACTTGTCTTATAACACGTTGCTTTCTACTCTCACCAAGAATGTGTTATCTCAGTTACAGCTGTTTGGAAATATAGATAAATCTTTGTTGTCAAAGACAAGAAAAAGGAGTCACATCACTGCAGCTTTAAAGCCTCTGCACTAGCTACCCCCACCCTTTGTGGTTTAGAAATCACTTAAGGGTTTTTAGACTGTATTGAACACTTGGCTGAGGACAGGGGCAGAGCTGTCAATTGCTCATATCTGCTAGCAAGGAGGCTGCAGGACAGGTCTTGTGAACCTAAATGGATGGTGGGGGTGAGCCGGGAACATCTGATAAAGGACCCCATTTGGGGAAGATCTTTAACTTGCCCCTCTGAGAAGTTTCAAGGGTAATTGTTGATATGAATTCAGAATGGACATTGTTCAGGACTTCCTCTGCGGCTTCCAGGGAACTGTGGCCTAAAGATCACTGGAGTCTGCTTGGGGCCAACCAGAGGTCACGTTGGTGGACATGTTCAACAAGATCAACAAAGAGGCATTTAGGGCTTGGTTGTCTTTTTGGACACTTGAAACACCAATTTGGTACAGGGTAACCAAAAAGAATATAAGTGTTTTGCTTGAACAAGAAAATCTAAAAAAATTGAAGGAATTTAAAGTGGCAAAGAGCAGAAGGACATTCAGTTGGCCTCAAGTGAGTGCAAGAATGCGTTCAATGACTCAGTCTGTAACTGCAGATCCGGACTGAGAATATTAACTGGGCAGTTAATAGAGCACTTCAAGGAACTCCTGAATCCAGATGTTTAATATTTTAATATTGTCATTTTTTTATTAACATTTCTACAGCTATCCATTTGAACTTATTTCCCTTTCCTACTAATCTACATTGTATTCCTTGTTTTATAAATATTACACGGCCTCCCCCACCTCACTGTACCCTGTGTCGAACGCTGTCATGCCCTTTTATTGTCATAATAAGGGTGGAGGTATAGCAGGACCAACGTGCAGATCAGCAGCTTCAGAGCCGCATGATGAGTCAAAGTTCTTTAAAAAGAAACACGAGCAGGACATGAACCAGGGTAGCAAGCAATCCAGTGGTGAGAAATCAAAACCATACACTATAAATCCAGAGGTAGGGAGGAGAATGGACCAATGAAGAAAGAAGTAAATAATGAGAAAGAACATGAATACCTAAACACAAGAATAAGTCCTGAACCCAGTCAAATATGAATGAACTAACATAACAGCAACTGAAGAACACAAACGGGGAAGTGTAGAAAAACAGACAAGGAACTTAAACTCAAACACAGGAGGATCATGACATTTATTACACAGTCTAACTCAGATAAAAAAAAAAAATATTAGGTTCGCTTTTCAAATTCTTGACCATCTGTTATTAATCTCCTTGCGTTCCATTCAAGAAGAATCATTATATTCCTCCTCAACGCATTTTTGGCTCAAATCTTTTATTTATTACTTCCCAAGACAGATCCGTCACAGCAAGGGACTTGATCAGTGCAACTAATAATGTAAGTCATGAATAAAATGAAGTTATCCATTGTAATTTCAATCGCTGACATTCCTGTTTGACTTGACCCAAGTCTTGCATTTGGAGAAACATCTTGCCTTCCTTGAAATGTTGGATAGTGCTAAACAATAAGGATTAAAGCAAGTCGAGCAGCTTGTCATGTGATCAAATGAGCGTAATGTCATTGTATCAAAGTTGTTTGACTCAATCTAGTGCTGATTGCTTTGACTTGAGTCACCAGAAGGTGACAGAAGGTTTCTTCAGTTTCTTCAGGCTCCAGCCCCTCGAAGCACCTTCGCTCAGGCAATGTCAAATCCATCTGCTGGTGCAATTTTGTAGGTGAGCAACCCAGTCTCACAAAGCTTCATGGTACAGGAAGAAAAAATGGGCTACCTAGCTGTTATGATTTGGGGTTGTTTGGTTTTGGTTTCGGGTTTTTTCTTTATATGTTTTTCACAGTTAAGGTTTTGAATCGTTCTTCTGTTTATTATTATTATTATTATTATTCTTGCTAGATTTTGAATCATGCTTCTGGTCATGCTTTACTTTTGTCATCTTGTTCATGTTTTGTCAAGTTTGGTTTTCGGATCTGGTTATGCTTTAGTTTCATGTTTTTCTAGTTTCTGTTAGTTTGTGTTCAAGAGCCTCTGTTTTGCTCCAGCCACGTTTTGTTCTCGTGTCAATTAACTTTATTCAGTTCACCTGCTCCAAGCTAATCTGGCTCCTTTCTTCACCTGGTTCACGTTCCATATATACACCTCCGTTCTGTTTATTCATCGCGGAAACATTTTCTAGATCATGCTCATGTCTTGTTCACGCCAGGCCTGTCTTGCCAGCCTGCCCATGTCTGTTTTTGCCTGTCCGTTTATTGTTTTGGTTCCTTCCTCCTAGTGAGTGAGTTTTTTGTTATTAAATATTTTTTCACTTACCGTCATGCTGCCTGCTTGTCTGCATTCCGGGGTCCTTCGTTGTACCACGCCTAACAGAATGTTTCCGCCAAACATGGACCTCGCGGACAGTAGGCAGAAGATAAGCGCCAAGGATTGCTGGGTCCAGTGGCAGATGGATGAGGCTATGAGACATCTGCCTGCAGATCTGGAGGTTCTGCCTTCTCCTCTGCTGCTGGAACAGATGGAGCGTGAGGCAACCCAACGCCAGGATATCCGTGAGGGCTGCTCTCCTCTGCTCCGACGCTCTCCACCTGCCCCTGCTTCGGTGGTCAAATCCACGTTCTCCTCCCGCTGCAGAAAACGCAGGCGTGGAGCCGCTTCCAGCCTTTTAGTCGGCGAGGAGGAGTCTTCCATGTCCTCTGCTGAGACGTTTGGAGCAGTGGTTTCTCTGCCAACTGACGTGAGGGCTGCAGTGAGTAATCCCGCATCTTCGTCTGTCACAGCACTGTCTCCCAGGCTTGCTGCAGCTCCGCCCATGCCGTCTTCGCTCGCTCCAGCCCATAGCACTGGGGCTACGCCTAATGAACTGGAGGAGCGTCATGCCAGATCAAGAAGAATAAGTCTTCTCCATCCCTCACCTCAGTTGTTCGTGGCATTAAGGAGAGTGGAGGAGGATTATGAGACAGCTATAAGGCAGTTTTACTGCTGCCCACCTCCTTCCTCGCCAGGTCTCCAGGGAGCTGCTACTGAGCAGCCCACGCCAGGACTCCAGGGAGCTGCTACGGAGCAGCCCACGCCAGGACTCCAGGGAGCTGCTACGGAGCAGCCCACGCCAGGACTCCAGGGAGCTGCTACTGAGCAGGCCACGTCAGGTCTCCAGAGTGCTTCTGCTGCAGCTGCTGTTCAGCAGTCGACGCCAGGTCTACAGCCTGCTGCAGACTTTCCGCCTCTATTTCCTGTTCCAGAGGGGTCTGAGGGTGGACTACCACTGATTCTGGCTCCTGGACTGTCTGACTGTGTTCTAGGGTCCACTGACTGTGTTCCAGGCCGAACCGATGCACAGCCTGACACAGCACAGCCTGACACACCACAGCCTGGGATGAAGCCTGACTCCAAGCCTGACCCTAAGTCTGCCTCAACCTCCTCCACACGCCGCAGAGGACGTCGTAAGAGGGACGCCTCAGCCTCTGCTCACGCCACTTAGGGTCTCAGCGACGCCTCAGCCTCTGCCCAGGCCACTGAGGGTCTCGGCGACGCCTCTGCCCAGGCCACTGAGGGTCTCGGTGACGCCTCAGCCTCTGCTCACGCCACTGAGGGTCTCGGCGACGCCTCAACCTCTGGCCACACCACTGAGGGTCTCGGCGACGCCTCAGCCTCTGCCCACGCCAC